GTCTAAGGTTTCTAAACTTATTTCTCAAGTATATCTAAGCTATCTTGTCTTTACTTACTCGACAGGGCTTTCCTAAAGTGTTCAAAAGAACCTAACAGAATAGGATGCCAAGGCATCTGCTCTCACTCAACGATGTTGGATAGCCTACCCTATTGATGAAGACACCCTTTTTAGTCGTTGAAATCCTAACCTAGTCTCTTCCGAGATCTAAGGGATTAAGTTATAATATTCCTAGGCCGGTTCAAAGCCCCTTGAAAATACCATAACCCATTGCTTATGAGGATCTTATCTTGCGTTTCTTCCGAATACTTACAAGTATTTTTAGTTTAGGATTCTTCCGAATACCTAACCTTCATCTAAGAGATGGACATTTCCATGCCTCTTACAAGCCTAGATGGTGAAGCAATCATAAGCAAAGCAAATAAAGAACCAAAATAAACTTAAATATACCATTAAAAATAAAGTTCAAACAACCATTCAACCAACCACCACCAAATAAGTTAGTTCATGGTGGGGTTCGAAATATCCAAACACAAAGTCATGAAAATTCGTTCCAACAACCCACAAAATAATATAAAGAAATAGCAGCAAAATGGGAAGTGAGAAGAAGCCTTCGACGTGCCACCGGAGGTCTCCTCTCGGCCACCACGAACCACCTAGCTAGCTACCTCCTTTCGGCGCCTAGCTTGCCACTCCTTGGAGCTTTATCAATGGAGGAATATTCCCAAGGAAGAAGAAAGGAAAAAAAGAAAATAAAAATGTGATTTTTCTGCTCTATACGTGTGATCTTCGTCCTCTCCTCTCTCTCTCCCATGAGGTGTCATATATAATAAATAAAATATCTAGGGGTAATGATGAGTTTGTTGGGTGCAAAATACCCCTCATACCCCTAGAATCACATTTTGTGCATGAACCTTATCCTCCAAGTGGCAGTGGTCCATTGGTAGCTCTGGCAGGCGGTTACAGCAGTCCTCCACGTGCAGGGACAGCTGTCCAGTGCCAGCTGTCCTTATGCAGAAATATCTTTTTGTCTTTTTCTGCGCTAGAAATGCCAAGGCATTTCAATCTGCTTTAGCAACGTGTGATGCCGCGGCATTACTTCTCGAAGAATCCTTTTTCTTGCTATTCCCTGCACACCATAGACAAACTGCACCTTTCCCTCAAACAGCACCATTAAGAAATAAAATAGCACAACCACCACAAATGCAACTATATGCAACTACATGATCCTAAAATGACTAAAATGAGCTTTTAAACAAACAATAACTTAAGTGAAAAAGGCTTTAAAAGTAGCCTTTTTTAGGAAGTTAACATTGAGGCTCACCCCAAGGTTATTTGTATTTATTTATATTGATTGCACTTATTCACAGTAAGTTTGGGGCTTATTTTACTAGCCTGTAATGTAAATATTGAGCATCAAGCATAGCAGATTGGGTGATTAGCAATGGTAGAGGGAGGGAAGAACCTGTCTTCAATGATCATAAGGCTGGCTTGCAGTGCTTATCTCTATATGATTAGGCGGTAAGTCCCCTACCCAATCTCATGTTTTACTACTTTCTTTAATGGTAAGAGATAGATTGTGGGGTTGTAGATCTGCTATGATTCATCAAGTTCAATAATAAGATAATGGGATTCTTTTGTAGTACAGACTTGATTATGTCCAAGGACATGTCGCATTCTTCTTATCAACTACACCTTAAAACTCCAAGGTATCACAAAATGGTAAGGCGGGATAATTCAAGGATACTATGAAACTCTAAAAGCCATTCATTTCCAATGGGGGAAAAATATGTACGGAAATGACAGTCCCACCTATTCTTCCTCCTTTGGGACCCCAATTCATTTACACTCTTCCATGAAAGATGTGGATATATAATTATAAATGTAGGGCTCAAGATCCGGACGTCCATCATTTGGACCGGACCCTCTCAATCAATCGGAGAACGGGTGATTTGTGTTGTGCAATGCTCGAGTATCATGAGTTCATGACCACGAAAAATCAAAACCTGTACAACTTTATCTTAAAATCAAGTATTCCTTTACCCGGAAAAATAAAATAAAGATTATTGTTTTTCTTAATGGATCAAAGATCTTGGTTCAAATAATTATATCTATACAGTATGCACATTATCAATTGATCAATAAAATTAAGAACAAATATTACTTTATAATTACCCCAAACTTTTAAAAACATAACTATTAGAAATCCATGAGTTTGATTTATTTTGACATTATATTTAGGGCGTCTGATATTTGAGCCACACATTTTTAAAGGGATGAAAAGATGGGGACCAAAATGGAGGAGAGTAGCAACAAGAGTTTAGAATCAAGGATTGGGGCCTAAATGGGATACGATGAGTAATAGAGCTGACCCGATGGCACAATAACGCTACTAGCCACGTATAAATTGGGTGATACCAGCACCGCCAATCCATATATACCATTATTACCTACATGCATCGCTGTCCACACGACTGCCTTCTTCAATCATGTTCCGTGTGTGCGCGCCCCCTCCCATTTGTCCTTTCTTCTTATTCAACCAATCTAACTGGACCTTTACTTTTTATTTCTTGTACGAGAATATTCAGTAATCTAAAAGAAAATTGATTTGGAAAAATGGTAAATGTCCAATTTTTTCCTTATATTATTCAAATATATTGTAAAATATGCCTGCTTGACAAATTATTTTATGCGTGGACCATGGTTGTAACAATTGTTGCTACATGAGATGTAACGATAACAAAAGTAAAACACAAATAACATCAGATGTTCACATAGTTCAGTAAAATTATCTACGTTTACAGATTTCATTACAAGACTTAAATATATTTTAAAATATATTTAATCCTCTAATTATACAATGATTATGATATTGAAGATTCTAATAAACAAGCTTTTTTTCAAAAAATAAAAAATAATAAACAAGCTTTTTCATAATCTACTTGTCTTTGAACAAATGAAAATGCCTCATCTCATAGTCATAGACATTATCTATATAAGTATCATAATTAAAAAATAAATTATATCTTAATAGATGTTGCGTCATACTGTCATTATCCATGTAACCCCATCACTTTATCAAGGAGGACAATCATTGACATGAAAGATCAACTTGAGGGAAGACATGGGCTAATTGCCCTCTTCTTCACTTGAGGGAAGCCGCCACGAACTTGATGCTAACGACCCATCAATTGCAAACAATTTACATCATAATGTATTTAGATATGAATATAAAATTTTACGTTTGAAATCGTAAATTTAAAAAATTATATTAAAATTCTAAAGAGTATGAAGGTACAAAATTATATTATCAATAAAAATATTTTTTAAAAAACACTTAATTTATATGTAGATTTGAAATTTTAGACTATACAAATATAAGATTCTATGTTTGAAATTGTGAGTTTAGAAAGTTGTACTAAAGTTTTAAAAGGTGCGAAAGTACATAATTATATCATCAATAAAAGATATTAACAATACTTAAATTATATATAGATTTAAAATTTTGAAAGAATATGACCGTAGTTGTACACTTCTAGATTGATCTCTGAATGTACCTTTCCTATGCCTAGAGGGGATGACTCGCACTAAACCAGGCCCCCTTAAAATTAGAGGCAACATAAGCACATGCATTTGTCTTAAACACTGACTGATTTCAGCTTAACCTCTACCAGTTGACCTCATCGTTATCGTTTTAAGCATATTGATCCCGCATTTAATTTGTGGGTACACATTAATGGTATTTAAAATTGAAATAATATTACTATTTGAGATACACATGAGTTGTGAATAATATTTATTTTATAATAAATAAAATATATTGTTCATTACAGGTAGATCACCCATTCAACTGGAAAACTATGATTTGAGATGGTGTTAGCATGTAGTGTTTATTAGCATTATCTTTCCAGCGGATCATACTTATCGGACAACTAGTTTTGTCAGTGGGCTTTAAACCCATACAAGTAGTGGGCATAACATGCATTTTATTGGACTGTGTAGTTTTTATTTAACTTTGTGCATAAATTCCATATAAACTCCAATACCAATAAATAAATATTTAGTAACTATAAACTATCATTAGTTAAGAATCAATGGAGTTAAATATAAAAAAGATACATTGTGGGTATAGATAATATATGTTTAGAATTTTTTTAAATTATTAACAGTACATACACTCTAAAAAGATATTTGTTACAACGTGGATCAACATTAACCAAAGGTGCCTAGGTTTATCGAAACGAAGAGATTTATTTCGAAGCAAAAGCCAACATGGAGGGAACGAAATGTGGATAAAGAAGAGGTTGAAAACAGAATGATGTCGACGTCGACACATTTCTGTATAGGAAAAAAAACCTAAATTTGACATCATAAAAAGAAAAAACCCCGTTACCACATGAGACTATCATGGAATGAAGATAAAATAAATAAATGTTGACAAAAAAGAATTCAAGATTTGAGGATTATGGAAAACAGTTCGTGCCTTTGTGGGGGGGGCATGAAGTGGCATTCCCCCCTTTCGTTATATTGTTAAATAAATTTGGTTTAATGTATCTTTTGACCCCTGTCCTTGGTTTTGTTATGTAATTTGATCCATGTCATTTTTTGGTGCAATTTAGCCATTGACTTTGGCTTTGAGCTCCAATTCGAGCCTTGAATTTTCGTTGGGTGCAATTCGGCCCCTGACCTTGGCTTTGATATGTAATTTGATATCTAATTCTGGCTTTGATATGCGGATATTAAAAAAACGTAATTGGATGATAACGTTTAAGCATACCATCTGTGAAGGGAATTTTTGTGCAGATAGAAGATGGGAATTTGTCTGATGAGGAGTTTGTAATTTTGGAATCACCGCCTGCTGAAATTAAGTCCCCAATAATGTGAATGATTTGTCTCTGACAACCTATCACCCAAACCGGAGGCAGTAATATGAAAGATTTGTCCCCAACAAAATTTACATTTATAAAGTCTAACTAGACAAATTCATTTACTACTCTTTGTTATTTAAAGCCAGTGTGGCGGCTCATTTGTCTTAACTCTTCTTCCATATCCCAAAAATGGGTCGGGCAAGGGCAACCAGTTGTACATCTTCCATCGACAGCACCCACCACTTTGCCTTCTCAACCACCGCTTCTTCTTCTTCTTCCTCCCAGAGGGACCTTAGCACTGATCTTCGCCTCGGCCGAAGCTTCTCGATATCGCCTCATTCTACAAGGTATTGTAATAGATGTTATTATAATTGATAAGATACCGAACTAATGACGTACGTGTCTGGTCTGTACTATATCAGGGAGGAGCAACCGTTGGAATGGCGGCCGATGAAGGCGGAACAAGAATACGAGTGCAACAGGTCAACGTTCTTTGTCAAGGTTTACATGGAAGGGATTCCTATTGGGAGAAAACTAGACGTGTTGGGTCATGAGAGTTACTATGATCTAATAACAACTCTGCAGCACATGTTCCATACAAACATTATCTGTAAGTGTGCGTCTATTGAAAATTCAATCTTTGTGAACAAAAATGTTGAGGAATGGGGAGTTTTGTGTATGAACGTAGGGGCTGAGGCAGAGGTGGATGGAGATAAGTACGAGAAATATCATGTGTTGACGTATGAAGACAAGGAAGGGGATTGGATGATGGTTGGTGATGTTCCTTGGGAGTAAGTAAACCAAGTTTTCAATTTCTCGATTTCAGCAGAGCTTAAATCTCATGTTAATCTCGTGTAGGATATTCTTGTCAGCTGTGAGGAGATTGAAGATCACCAAGTGCTCCCCTCTTGCTGTGGAGTGAAATTAAAATGGTTGACGTATAAGCTTAGGGTTTTGAATGTACATCTCCGTTTCTAGTCGAGTCGACTTTATAAATTTCAACACTAGTCGATTCGAGTTTAATTTTCGAGTTTCTGTTTAAATTTAATTGTAAATATTTATAATACTATTATATTATTTGATTCCAATTTAAATGGTTTTTTATAACCATATAATATATATATATATATATATATATATAAATTCGAGATACTCGACTCAAACTTGAAAATATCCACCAATTGCTAAAAATTTCAAATTATTCGAGTTATCCGAGTTGTTTTACAACTCGGTTTGAATTTAAAAAAAATTCGAGTCTAGTCGAGTTTATGAAATTACAACTCAAAATCAATCTGAGTCGAGTAAAAAATCGATTTTTCGAATCGAGTTGTTTTCACCCACCTATATGTATGGTTTACTCTTTCTTATATTTTGGTTTGAAATAATTTAACTTGTATATAATCCAGTGTTAATTCTAAAGTGTTGGACTATATTACTATAATACTTGTAATCATGATTGTGATTCCAAACTAGTTGAAAATGGGCCATAGTTCTGCTTGAAGCGGTTGTAATATTCCAATCGTTTTGTTGAAGCCTAACATTATTCTTAAGCTATTTTTAATATGTTTTGGAACGCTCAACTTTATTCCTCATTTCACCTGTACGTCTAGTTTCAATAAAGAATTTTCTAATATTATGCATTTTTAAGTGCTTTAGAGAACATTTCATAATCTTGCTCCCTCCATTTCCAAAAAGAATTTTTTTATATAAATCAGTATTCGAGAATATATATATATATATATATAATTAAAAAAAAATTAGCTGACCCTTATTCACATATGTAATGTGGTAAGGGAGATGTAGGATAGTAGGCTGCTCTCAACACCAGGTTGAGAGCAGCTTCCGTGGGAGACCTCCAAATTATGAATTGTCCTCCTTGAGACTCGATCCCACGATCACAAGGTTAAGAGCCTTGTGCTCTACCAACCGATGTAAAAAGCAAAAGCTTAAAGACACTCAAATAATATGAATCTGTAATACTTAAAAATACAAATTTAAAGAAAATTTTGAATCGAAGAAAAATACTGTTTACGATTCATTATATTTATTAATTGATATTAAAAATTTGATATTTTAATATATGTCTAACTATTATATAATAATAAAATTAATACTGATGAAATTAAATTAATATATGTCATAATAATATTGACACGTATATTTTTTATTCACATTAAATTATATTTATTATTCTAGAATGATATAATGGCATAAACATATATCTAACATTTGATAAAATAATTAATTTAATTTTTTCTTTACAGAAAATTAATATTTTAAATAAATTTTTACTCCAACACAACCAACATTTACTATACTAAAATAAAAAAAATAGAAAATAAAATACCGTGGACGTTAAATTACGTTTTATATTAATTTTGAATCACACTTTTATGGTAAATTAAACTATCGAAACGTATAGATAAACTACGCATTAAATATAATATATTAATAATATTTTAATACTTAAAATAAATATGAATGATTAATTAATTAAAGATAATGCAACACGATTGTCGGAAGAATATTAGCAATAAAATATGAAATGAGCATGGTGAGATCAGGTAGCCAATGTCACAGCTGAACTTATTCCAACCACAATACCAGGCAATGTCGTAAAGGCAATGTGCATAAGCATGTGCTGGATTCTATATAAGCCATGGTAGACTCCACTCGATCCCATCAAACCACCACTGCTCTTAGGTCAATCTACAAGCATGTGTATCTGCATCAAATGCGGGTGCTTTAGCTGCAAAAATGAAAGCCCCGCTGGGAAGAAAGAAGAAGAAGAAGAAGCCGACTTTCTTGACGTTATGCTCGCAGTCTTTCTGCCCCCTGTTGCCATTTATAAGAAGCAAAAACGTTGTACGGTCAGTCCTCTCTCCTCTTGTTTTCAAACGTCTTTTTCATACGCTTCGACAATCATGTTTTCATTTCCATCTGTGTTTTGAGTTGATTGCAGGGCAAACTGTGGGTAAATATATTTCTCACGGTATCAGGATATGTGCCGGGGAGCATCCACGCTGCCATGTTCATAACGAACTGAAGGCGATGGACTCGATCGGATGGTCCTTTAATTGTATTACTACTGTCAATCTGCTTGACAAGGGGCAGGTGAATAAAATTTATGCTGTGCTCTGTTGTGTTTGAATGAATCCTAGTTTGTTATTTTCTCTAATTGTGCCTGAACACAAACAAATATAAAACTATCAACCATGGGTAATAAAAACCAAAGACAATGGACCGATGTCAGGCTGAGAAACATATCCTTCCAAAGTAAGGGAATTGCCTTTCACTTCAGACAAAAGATTGCAGCTCTCTAGGAAGCAGCCTGGATGAAATATACATCAGAATCACAATAAAAAAGACGAATCAAAGTAAAAAAAAAAACTTTTCCCTGTCTATTAATCATTCAGCTTTCAAGTAAATTTTTACTTCGCTCCAAGTAACAAGCCCAGATTTAATCTGTTGGCATTTCAGACTATAACAAACCAAAGCCCCTCCCAAAAAAAGCCTCTCAAGTACAAACTTCTCTCTATTTCGTTTTTTTCTCTGACAGATCACTCAATTACTTGTTACTGCACACAAAATTACAAAGAAAAAAGAAAGAAAAAAAAACTCGCAAAAACATCTTATGAGTCAACAACCACATATCGGGCTGTTGTGTTCGAGAAATGGAAAGAATCAACATTCCCACTTCCGAAAAAGAAGAGAGAAAAAGTCTCAAAATTTACCAAGAAAGCAACCAAGGGCCTCTATTTTGATAACCGGGACTCCGCAAATGGTTCGATAGATGGTAACAATCCGAAGAATGGTTGGGGTAGACACTTTCCTTGAGAGGTTCACAAGTTTCTGGGGTAACCAGGGCAGAGTAGCCTTGTATATGTGAGCAGTTCCATGGGGACTCCGAGGTTACGTTGAGGCTAATATTCAACAAGCAAACATGATTAAAAGTGTCTCCTTCTATCCCTTTGAGGAGGCCTGCAACTTTTATGTTATCTCCGACCACATCTTTAACAGTTATCCTTTCTATTACAGGGAGAGCATTTGGATCGTATAACTCATCCGGGTGCTGAGAAAAATTACCATCAAACCATATCGCCGTGTCAACACCAACCAGGGTAACATTTGATATATATATATTTCTCACATAACCACCCCTTCCAGAAGCCGTCTTTATAAAGATAGCTGTGGCAGAATCGAAAAAGTAGAGGTTTTCTGCATAAACTTCTGAAACACCTCCAGACATCTCACTTCCGATTGCAATCCCGGAGCCATTTCGATTGTTTCCAATAAGCCGGCGGATTATAATGTTTGTGCTGGGGCGACCAAACGAAATGCCATACTCATCCCACCCACTTTTGATGGCAATTAGATCGTCACCGGTGCTAATGTAACAGTCTTCGATGCAAACATCATCGGAAGAGTCTGAATATTCAAACATGTAAGTAAGAATGCTTATGATTGAAATTTCAAACCGGATGCAAAGGTTAGTAAATCATACTCACCTGGATCGATCCCATCGGTGTTTGGTGAATCCAGAGGAGCCAGGATTGTGACATTCTGAACTATGACATGGCTGTTTCATTAAGCAAACAAAAATCTCAACTTAATTAATAAATGCTTTCAAGGGCGAGCATGCTGATATTAAAGGAAGCCTCAAACCTGCAGTATACTGGGTGGATGGTCCAAAATGGAGAGTTCAAGAAAGTTAAGTTTGAGATTACAACCCCGGTCGAGTTCATCAACTCGACCAGATGGGGGCGAGTATAGTTAAGAGTTTCTCGTCTAAAGCAGTTCCACCATACACTTCCTTGTCCATCGATAGTTCCATTGTCACCTGCGATAAGAACATATGGCATCCATGGAAAAACATAAAATGCTTACTAATAATTAACTTTCATCAGGGTTTCTAACCTGTTATGATTACATCAGTCAAATTGCGACCATGTATAAGGCTTCGATGCCTTCCACTAGGTAACTCCCTACCTCGGCCATAGGAAGGCAGAGGATCAACAACTGGCCAGTCATCAGAACTCTGAAACAATAAACTAAACGATAAGAATGAATCTACAGTGGTGGTGTCGACTTACAAATAGCTCGAATGCCTATTATCCAGAATCAACCATTCTAACAACAGATTAAAGCCCACATACCAAAGAATTTCCAGATGCAACTGTGGTTCTTTTTTCTCATCTTATACGAGTAAATGTTGTTTTGGAAGTAAGTTGATAACGACTTACATTGGATCCAAGGATCACTGCATCCTTATCTAACCACAAAGTTAGGTGACTGATGAGATCGAAGCTTCCTGTCAACCACCGGCCAGCTGGGACAAAAAGCTTTGCCCCACCTTTGTCAGCAAACGAATTGAGGTAGAAGATGGCATTCTGAAATGCTTTGGTATTGAGAGTGACACCATCTCCGACGGCACCAAATTCGGTAATAGCGACACTGTGAGGCCGAATCTCCCTCGAGAGAGCCTGCTTGCAATGTGAGCTGCTCTTGACAGTCCATGTAATATGACTGAAAATTGCAAGTACCAGTAGCACATCGACCAGCTGAAATGAAATGTTCTCAGAATTGATCATGAGTGAATCAAAAGATATACTAAAACAGGAAAACGAGAAACATGCAAAAGTAGTCAGAGATTAAAACTTCATCAGTCAAGTCATGCAAAAGTAGTGAATCAAACATTTCATGCCGCAAAACTAGCAGACTAACATAGAAGTAACTAAATGAACTTCATTTAACAAAAAGGGTAACTTGAAAACAGAAGAAACAGCCAATCCAAAATGGAAGAAGCAAATTGCATTTGCTCACCATAACTAGTAATAGCTACAACACCGATGAAAACTAAAAGGAAGAACCATTTTTCTCGTTTAGATCCCAAGTCCCAACCAGTGCCTTAAATCAATTTTGAAATGTGTACAAAAAGAGATTAGAGGAATCAAACTGTCCCGCCAAAACACATTTCCAAACATTTTCTTCAGATCTTGTTCAATTGCTCAGACTCCAAGAACATAGTGTTGTAGCAGGAAGACAGGGAACATTATTAAGAGCCATTCAGAAAGACAAAAGTACAGTGTTTTAAAAAAATAGTTGGTCGAAAGGAGAAGCAAAGATCAAGCAACTTACACTGAAAGATCTCTTCATATGAATGAGATCTGCAAATTTCTCTTTCACCCAAGCACCTAAGAAGACAGCTCGAGGGTGTCACAAAATCCACACTCTCCCTTTCCTTTTATTTGAACAAAACCAAAAGAAAGGCTACGTTTTCTTCTTCTTCTTCTTCTTCTTCTTCTCTTTCTACAGAATGAGAATAAGATCCTCTTTCTCTAGCTAGCTAGCCAGCAATAAGGCAAGTGCATGTGAGATTAGATGGGACATGGAGAGAAAACCACCAACAACAAAGAGAAATCATTGAAAGTGACCGTTTCTGCCCGCCAAAAATTAAGCTGTAGGCCCCTCTTATTTTTTCAATTGCTCCATCACTTCCCTCTGTCTTCACATACGAGGAATTACCATGAAATGATCATGCTTTATGGAAACTGAAAACTGAGACAAACTCGATGAAATCCCTGTGCTTGTGACTGCTGCTGGATTCTATTATGAACTCCTTGAAAGAAAGGCGTTTCCTTTAGAATGAATGAGGTTTATTAAGACGTGGGATTGGAACCTGGAAGAATTATAAAGTTGATTCCTTTGTCTATATTGGTCTTTTGTTATTTGCATAAAAACAAAACAAGGCAATAAAAGAAACCAGCATTAAAATTTATACAAAAAAAAGCAATGGTGTCATTTGCTTTGTCCAAATTGTTTGTTTTGTGCTGGCCCTTTTTGTCACCGAGTGAACATTGTCCTTTGAATCGCTAATCCCGAGTTCATTGTTAAATGAAAAAAGAGAGGAGGTGGGTCAGGTTTTTGTTTAATATTAACATTTGGCTTCGCTTGATTGACCCAAATAGGCTTGACCAGTTAAAAGAGGAACCTACGAGTTTCTGTTTCAAACCAGTGGGCGCCGAGTGACGGTGAGTGAGTCGAGGGTTTAGTTGTTTGATCCTTACAGGGAACATTGAACAAACCCCATTTGATAGCCCATTATTATGCCCTTGAACAATCTCTTTCATCACTTCTTGCTCCCCTTTTGTTTTTCAGTTTTTACTTTTAAGACAATATTTCCGCATGAAACATTTATGAATGCCTGGATTATATCTTTTTTTCTCCCTTACTTTCTAAAATACTTATTTCTGTAAACGAAATTATTAAAACACTGTCAAACATCATGATTATTAGACGACAATTTTACTTTTCTTTTTTTAAAAAAATATATGACGTTTATGACCCAAACTATTAATTTTGATCTATTTTAATATATAAATTTTTAATTTTTTCGAAATAATATCTAAAGTTTAGTTTTCGTTTCATTTTAATACATTGTTTAAAATTTAACGTTAAGTTTTGAGAAAAATTAAAAGTTTAGGTACGATCAAAACCGATAGTTCAAGTGTTAAACGCGTTAAGTTTTTAAAGATGAAATACTAAAATGAAGCAAAAACTAAATGTTAGATATGATTATAAAAAAATTAAAAATTTAACTAAAAAATTAAAACTAATAATTTAGATATTAAATGCGTAGTTTACTCTTTTTTATGTGTTAGTACTGCTGAGAGAAAATGAAACGAAAAGGCAGACAAGAATCTATGTCCCATGTTTTATACTTAGCTTCAACATAACAACATTGAAAAACAGGCTAACAGTTTACTGTCAGTGACCAGACCACTGACCAACTTAATTAATGAAAGAAAGGCTTTCACTTTCTAATGGGTACAAAGGAAATGATCCATCAAAGTACTAAATATTGGGTGGTGCTTAAATTAGCTGCGAGTGTATAAACCATTGGAAAAATTAATATATAAACAACAACATAAAAGAGTTTGTTTATATAAATTTATCGATGGCACTAATTAACTTACTTTAGTGATTAAATAAATTGTTATTATTCTTAGAGGTATAGAGTTTGAGCGTCGGCGACTGTAACAAAATGATTGAAGATTTATTATCAATGATTGAGAGTATTTATAACATATATTATTTTAATGATTTATCGATATAAATTTAAAAAGAAATCCATTATAATATTTTTAGTACAAGAGACATTAAAATAAATTAAGCTCTATAAGTGCATTAAACTTGGCTCGATCCTTAAAACATTGTAGAAGACTCGTGTACAAAAAATATAGTTAACCTAACGCTAGTAATTTTGTAATTATCAAGATAATTTAGACTAAGAGTATTATAGAAGTTTTATTGACCTCATTTGTGTCATTTATATTGAGTAATCAAAATCAGCATTTACATTAAAAATATATTTGATTCACATAATGTAATATTATTTATCAGAATAAGATTATAGAAATATAACTTTATCTTACACATTGACAATGTTACATTATCGTGCTTGGTGTTTTTGACAATAATATAAGGTTACAATATTTGATTAAAAGAATATAAATTTATCTAAAAGTAAATTTTATCAAATTATCATTGTGAATTTATGATATATTTTCTTTTTAACAACTTAAACTTATGGTATTAAAAATAATTATATTGAAATTTATATAACTATTTCAATTACACTCTAAATTTTACAAAACATGTACTTTTAACATATTATTAATATTATTTTCCCTTTTTATTATTCTTTACAACTTGTGTCAATTTTATTGATCAATCAATTTTTTCTTTTTTAATTTTGTTTAAACAGTGACGATACCGATTTTAATGTTGGTTGTCGCCCGCCGGTTATCTTTTTTTCTTTGTTTTTTTAGTAAGAATAATTATATCTTTGTGACATGTTCTCTGCCTTTATGACACGTTTATCTACGACTTTGTGGCATTTTTTCTCTGTCTTTTAGTAGCTTACGGTTTTTTATCATTGCTTTTGTTTATATTTTTTCTCAATATTGGATTTGATATCGTCACAATTGATCAAGATAACGCTTATTTGTTATCATGATAATATTCCCTATTTTAGACCATCGAATTCATTTGGATACGCTTCTTGTGTTCGTTGATAGTTTTCTCACATCACTTGACTCTGATTTACACTTTTTCGATGATCTTTTAGTAGTTCCATCCTTTTTTGTTGTTCGTTTACCGATGCAGTCAAATTTGTTTGTATCTTTATTTTATTCGAATTTTTTTGTTAGCTTTTTTAACCTTTTCCTTCTTTGGTCCTTATGTGATCTAGGTGGCTAGTTTTTGTCTCAACGATAATAGAAAAGTGTCATGATTATATTTTAGGTTTACATTTACGCTTGTAAATCTTCATTGTAATTTTGAATATTTTCTATTTTAAATAAAACTAGTAACTTTCTATAATATATATATAATATATATTATTAATATAATTAATATATTAATTAATATTTCAAAAAATTATACAAGTAAATATCCTATATTTGCTTTTGGTATAGTATATAATATATTTTTAAATGCCAATAACAATGTTATATTTTAACTTGGGGAGAACCCAAGAGTAAGATAATTTCAATTTTTTGAGTTATAGTACGTTTATTATTGAACTAAATTTGAATAATTTATAGTAGCTACAACGTCACAACCTTGCAATCCAAAGTCTCGTATAAAAATTAAAACTCAAACATGAATAAGTTTGTATTATCTCAATCAAATTTACATCATGAACTAGATATTTAAAATTAATATTAGATATATCATAAATATAAAATTAAGAAAATATATTAAATACTTTTTTTGTTTTAGATTAAGCTAAAATATTTTATAAAGTAGTATATGTTCTAAAAATATACTAAATATTAAAAATTGTTTAAATATTTAACTAATATGAAATACAAATATTTAACTACTATTAAAAACATTTTTCCTATAGCTAATATGCCACATTTATTAATGTTGAAAAAAATCGATAATTTTAGAGCTTTAAATGAGAAATTAATCCAAACATTGTTGAGGAAAATGTATAACCAATTCTTGGTTCGTAAATGTGCAGACGTGCACGATGTGGGTAACATGAATGTTCGAACTGGTCAAGCTCTTTGTGGGCTTATGGATATTTTAACCCAAAGATGAAATATATGTTCCTCAAATAGATCATATATTTTATAATTTTGTTTTGGAATTAAAATGATTAAAAAATTCTTTAAGCAAAACAATAATTTTGGAAATTACTTGATTGTTTGATTTTCATTAATGTTTCATTAGGTCAAAAATTTTCAATTATTCACAATGTGAGATCCCTATAAATACCATGTAAACTTACTAGGTTAAACATAATTAAAAACGACTCAAAAAGTTTTTCTTTCCTCTAGTTTTTTTCGGTGATAGAAGAAGGCATTGAATAGTTCGTGATCTCAGTAGTTGTGTTATTGTGCGTTAATCATCCAGTTGTTGTATCCTGGGAGACAAATAATCAAATATCTCGAACATCAATGAATGGTCGAAAATCTGTCTTAAGGAAATTGCGTAGTTGCAAGCCTCAACCTGTTTTAATCGATTGTTTCGTAAAAATTGTGTATTTATTTTTATATCTTTCTTTCAATTATTTAATAGAATGATTATTTCCCAAGTTATTAATCGCTTTTTTATTCATGTACACGAATTTTATGACAAGATTATGCCATGGAATTAAATAGTATTTGCCGCGACTTGTATGAATCAATTATTTAAATAAGATTCTCTTTTTATTGTCTTGGATCGTTATACTTCTAACAATTAATAATATTACTTTTAAGCTAATTCACAATAAACCAATCTATTTATATTTATTATATTTTAGTCGGCAAAACATAATGTTTTCCAACAAACTCTCAAAGAAATGAGGAGTTTTTGCTTTACATGGAGCAAATGAATTTCATTGCACATCACTCATCACTGTTTCTTCATGTTTTTAAAGATCACATCTCTTGGTCTAAATTAACATTTAAATTAGTACGGATAATTTGACTTGTACAAGTGATAATCATACATACTTATTAGTAATAATTCATTTGGATTATGTTTCCTTGGAAAAACATGTTTTACTTTAAATTATAACACTCAACTCATTGCTCTGCCTTTCTTAACATACTTGATATATTATGAAGCATATTCAAGAGCAGAGTGAGGTTAAAGAAGGGCCAAAACTATATATTACAGTGATATAATGTCTAATTATTATTTATTTATTAAAATATTAGCAATTCATTATGTTATATGCCATGACTGTATTTTCTTCGAAAGTATGGTAAATGCAATATTATATACAAAATCAATTTTACCAAACAAAACAATGTATATATATATATGATAAAATATGCAAATGTTTTAGCACGAAAACTAAACGGCAATTTGCCTCGAACGAAACTTTTTCTGGGAATCATTAGTTTTCTAGGTTTCTTTATGCTTTTTTTTCCTGCTTTTCTGTGTATTTTCACCTGGAAAAAGAAAACATTTGGCCGAACGTTGGGTGTCAGGCCGTAACCCTTTTTTGCCTTGGGTAAACTACAAGATTAGTCAATTTTATTTCAATTTTTTATTTTTGATCATTAATTTTTTTTAATAAAAAAACAT